TGTTTTGGGCTTTGCAGATTCAATGTTCTCGGTTCAGGAGTTGTTCCAAGTCGGTTTCGGGAAAAGTGAAGCAAGGCGGTTTTGTCATGATGACATCTCTCATTGCCGCCGTTTCGTTACCTCTCCTGAGACGTCGTCGTCTTTGCCGTCGTCGTCCGTCTTCGTTTCGGAAGCTATTGGTATGAGTTTTTGCTCGCCATGGTTTTTTTATTGCGTTATCCTGGATTCGCTTCGTGATCCGAATTTGTCTTCATTGACATGATGACAGTTGCATGGGTATTTTCATCATCACTATCGTCGTTGCCATCATTAGCGCGATCATAGTTGACATCATCCCTGAACCTTAAACCCATGCTGATCCTCACTTCCTGCTTCGTTGCGCGTGTTGCTTTAAAGGAAGCCGTGTCTTCCAAACAGAAGCGGTCTTCAAGCCTAGCCCAGCAGAAAAAACTTCCCTCATCGCTAGCAAGACTGCACCAACCCTGTATATTCACGTCGCCAGAAACCTTGCTCAAAAGCACCGAAGCCCTAAACCCAAAACCCGTAAACCTGAGCCCGAAACCCCTACACCCCTAAACCCCAAAATCCCAAACTCCCTTAAACCAGACACTCATGGTTCGAGGCGAGGCCTTATACCTGCACCCTTCGAGACACATATTTCAGGGGCTGGGGGGCTTCCCGCAAACGACACCTGACTCTCATGGGCCTACAATCGGGCTTTGGGGTAGGTTATACTATACTATAGCCAATTTGTTTGATCAGCGAGCTCGTTCCTGAGGTCGCCTGAGCCGGAGGCGGGCTGGGGGTGCTTTGTCTTCTGTGTGGCCGCAGATCGGGCGTAGCGTTGAGGGCATGTGAACAAGCGCGAGACAGGTGGCATGCAAGGCAGTGCAGTGGCAATAGATCTTGTGGTTCACCGCTGTCTCACATGTTTTCTAGTTGTGATTCTTGTTTACTTCGCATGTAGCTTTTCCCTCACTCAACTCTCGCAGTTACTTGTCCGCTTGTTGTCATTATGGCTGTTTGATGGTTCAGTGGCAGAGGCAGTGGCAGTGGTAGCGGGAGTGAGTGGTAGTGTGCTCAAGGCTGACGGCTTCTTCACGCTGCAAAATGAGCTTCAGAAGTAGCAATGCTCTGCAAAGGTGCGGTATCGCGCAGGCAGGCGACAGCTTGCATGATCCACGATCCGGCAGCATCGGGCCGCGGTTCGTGTTCGCCATGTTTCAACCGGCTTTCACGACATGGATCCTTGCACGAGGTGGGCCCACAGGGGTATGCAGGGTACAACTTAGCAATCCCTGATTGTCTCTAGTACGTCCTAGGGTTCAGTAAAGTTCCTCAAGAATCCCTAGTGCACTCCCCTCTTGAACCACCTCGTCAAGGATCCTACAATGACAGTATGTGCTTAGCCCGGTGCTGCTGGACTTTCTGGAGCTTCGGAGGTAAAACCTCGAAGCTCCGACTGCGTTGACGCAGAGATTTTCATGACCCCAATGCTGCAGCTGAGTGCAACGAAGGCAGCGCAGGACAGGCGCTTCTCTAAGGAGAAGAGCGCACGGACAACCTGGAGATCCCTCGCAAAGTGCTGCTTGTCTTTCGGATCTTGCCTCTAAGCTTTGTAGAATTTCATGTAGGGGACTGAGTAATCGAAATCGGACGTGTAGAGAATATTCTGACGGGGGAGCCTTCCTGCAGGTCTGAGCCCGAAGACATAAACCCGAGGGCTGGCTGATGTGGGCTTATTGACAGAGTTAGAGATTTATGACAACCTGACTTACAATTTCCCATGATCCTCAAAGTACGGTAGGTAGCACCTCATTTGGAGGAGGAGCGTTGAAGGTGAGGATTCGGAAGCCCAAGTTTCCTGAGCATTTCGGTAAACTCCCTTCTGTCAACAACCTCGAACCGCGAATCTGGAGCAAGAAATCCACCTAAACTTGATTCAGCGAGTGAAATTTCGATCCCGAACGCTTGCCTGGCACCGCCCTCAACCCTACTGGGAAAGTCTCGATGGGGCTTGTGAGTGTACGTTTTTGTTGTGTTGGACTTGAGGGCTTGAGGTTTCAGGGAGCTGAGATGGTGTTTGTTCTGAGTTCTTCGGATTCAGGGTCCTGAGAGCTTTGCCAGGTGATCCCGCTGCGTCCGAGGCAGGATGGCATTAGACCCGAGCCCTGGAGCCATGCCCCTGAGACCATTACCGCTAGTTCGGCTACTACTGCTGCGTTGCTACTGCTGCCACTTGCTGCTCCTACTGCTGCTACTGCTGCTGCTACTACTACAACAACAACAACAACTACTACTACTACTACTACTACTACTACTACTACTATTCCTACTCCGACTTTTTCCTACGCGACTCCTACTCCGACTCCTACTCCTCCCCTTCTCCTACTCCTACCCGTACTCCTACTTCTACTCGTACTCCTGCTCCTACTCCTTTTCCTACTCCTACCTCCTCCTCCTCCTCCTCCTCCTCCTCGTACTCCTACTCCTACTCCTGCTCCTGCTCCTGCTCCTGCTCCTGCTCCTGCTCTTGCTCCTGCTCCTGCTTACTACTACTGCTAGTATTAATACCGGTATTAGTACTAGTACGAGTGCTGCTGCTCCTTCTACTACGAGTGCAGTATTACTACTGCTACTTCCACCACCACCGCCACCACTCCTGCTCCGACTCGTACTCAGTCCCGCAGAGTCCTACTCTTGCTGCTACTGCTGCTGCTACCGCTCCTGTCGCTGCTGCTGCAGCTGCTACAACGATGCCACTAGAAGGACGCCGACGACGACTGCTACACTACTAGAACAACCACGACGATGACCTCCTACCGACTCTCAGTTCGTGTTGTTGCTGATCAGGTCATTTCATTGTTCCCATGGTCAGTATGATGTGTGCCTTGTTACTACATTGCTTGAGGAGATTGGCCCGTGACACAACTGTCAGAACTGGCTTTGGCGTGCTTACTCGTGCTTGGAGAGTTAGTGCTTGGAAAGTTTTGAGGCTACATTATGGTGCTCGGTACGTTGACGATGGCTTCGTTCTGTTCTGTGTGCGTACATGACGATACGGCCGAATCTGTTCATATCTGGGACCATGTTCATCTATTGTGCATCGTTTCGTTGTTTGTTAGCTCGTTGTGCAGTGCCTAGTATTTCTCTGGTGTTGTTGTGCTTGACTAAAAGGTTCAGCGCTGTCCTCTGGTAGTATTTCTTTGCAATGCATTAGTTGTGACATCATCGGAGAATGTATCCGCCGTTCCATCACCTTAACAAGAGACACGGTATTCTACTCTTGCTGGCAGCTCTTTGGGATTATGGAGGCTTTGCCACCCTAGAGCAAGCGAAACGTCAGCCTGAAGCCCTCCACCCTAAGCCCTGAACTAGCTTCTTGACTCCATGACGCAAGGCCCTAAAGAAGCTTCTCTGATGCAAGGCCTGCAAGAAGCTGAGTGGAGCCCGCAAGCTCCTTCACCAACAGGGCTCTAGGTGCCCCACAGCGTGCAGCAGTTCAATTCAATGTGGAAGCCTAAGTAGTTAGTTATATTTTTCCCTTCAGGCGTGCTTAGTACCGAAGAAAGCCTGCACTTTGGGACATCGAGCTGTGCGTTGGGTGTTAAGGCACGGCTGGCTCTGCAAAGACAAGCAAACAGCTGTCTCACTATTCCATGCTAAATTCGTTCCTCCCATGTGTAGAGGATGCAAGGACATCAGCTGCACTGGCAAGACGTGTGAGAAGGGGCCGCCGACCGACATGACCGAAACCGACGTGATGGCCATCCTAGACCGCAGGTCTGCTACAGTATCGGCTTGCACCCGCCGTCATGCGAAGAATTTCTCGGGGTCAGTCTCGAACAGTTGCATCCCACCAGAGCCGACAAGAGGCGCTCGCTCTCGCAATATCCGTTGCACCCACTGTAAAACATGTGTCCGCACAGGCTTCGCTCGAGTTTTCTGCCGTGCCACGAGGCCCCAAAAGCCCAAGCGCCCTTCTGACCCTGAAGTCTAATATAGTGGCTTGAAGAGTTACCAACACTAGTTCTTCGGGTTCCTTAATATGAATATGTAGTATGATATCCCCCAACACCGCTTTTTACCGTTACGGCTCATACATTGCGACTTGACCTCTGTGTTCACAAGACTTGACTCCCTGGGCAGCAGAAACACCTCTGCTTCGTGATGTCTTGCTTGGGTGGGCCAAGTGAGCGTCGCCGGATTTCAACCAGCAGTATCCATTTTGAATCTCTGGACGTTTAGGGTTTGGGTTTAGGGTTTAGGCCCTAGTTCACGTTTAAGAGAGACCCGAATCTAGCCCTGAAGCTGACCTATCCCGGCTCCCCGAAACCCGAAGAGCCAACGCCGCTTCGATGAGTCGCCACAACTGAGGCGCCAAGACTCCCCTGGCTGAGTTTTCCAAGTCCTTGCGGCAAAAGCGGGCCGAGGAAGGTCAGGAGGTGCGGGGGATTTATTCTTTTTTCCGTCCAAAGTAACCGAAATAGTAGCGTTTGATCAGAGCCCAAATAACCATGAAACATGTTGCCTCCAACCACAAGAGCCTTCTTGGCTTGTTTCGCCATGAGGTTTGGCTCAGCAATCTTCTTGTCCTCATGTGCGGCCAGGATTAGGAGCAGCCCTTAAACAAACCAACGGCCCCTGTCGCACAAAACCCGACAAAACTATAGAAATGAGAGAACATCAACACGAAGAAAGGGTGTTTTTGACAGCGCTAAGAGCGAGAGACGCCACTAATCAGGAGCAAGACGTCAGAGTGGAAGGGCTTCACTCCTGATTCCAGATGATCAAGCTTGATACTCCCATGGCTACGAACAAGTTAAGCGACAAGATACGTGTGTGTGAAGCCTTAGACGTAGCTTAGAGGAGCGGCGAAGACGTGAGGAAGAACAGAGCAGTCGAACGAAGAAGCCGACCACAACGACTCGACGGCAAGGGGTCTTGAGCGCATTTGCAGCGGTATCTCTGACTCGCAGGAGCATGCCGAGTTCTTCCCCATGTACACTGTGCATCTTGAAGCGCTTCTCGAGATGGCAGAGATTTTGCCACATGAGGCGGGGCTTTTCTCCTTCGGCGAGCTTTACTCCAGCGATCCCAGCCGAGGTGCTTTTGGCCGACGGGGTTCTGACGCTGTTTGACCGGTCCAAAGGCCAGGCCATGTTCGTTTCTCACCAGTGGATCCTCGGAAGGCAAATAATGAGACAAACCTTTCGATGCACTCAAGCTAGGTCTACCGGGAGCAAGCCTTTGCCCTTCTATTCTTGGGTTTCCTTGTTAACACCAAGCAGCAGGAAGAAGGGTACCCTATTATTCAGGAGCTACCATGCAGCCTAGCAACTCACCCCGAGTAGTTGGACGAGCCTGAGGACCGGTGTGGGACATCCTGACCCAACCCTCCAACAGCTGCGAGTTCTCCAAGATGCCCTCTCGAACAGCCTGAGCGGCCTCTGCAATGCTTCCGTGGACGTGATCACAGAAGTACTCTTCGGCTTGCGCAGTTATCCTTTGGCCGAGGCTTTAAGGTCGAAGCCCGTCTTCGTGTGGTACGACTACTTCAGCTGTCCACAGCAGCGCAAAAAAGCACCCGACCCGGAGGGGAGCCTCCAGCATGCTATCGACAGCATCCCTGCCTACGTGTCCAAATGCAGCTTGTTTGTGGCCTTGTGCCCTGCTGTGGAAAGCTCTGATCAGTCTCGGATCTACAATCGCTCTACATGGTTAGACCTCTCGGCTTTTGCCAAGTATGCCTTTTTGTAGCGCCGGACGGACCATAGTCCATGACACCCTCGAGTTGGTAATTCGAAACACCAAGTCATAAACAGGGTTCAAACACAGCAACAATAGTAGTACTACTTGTAGTAATGCGATGTCATCTGATATAGTATGGCCTGGGCCAAGGATCGTGGGTGGTGTAGGTTAGAGTGGACCATGTGGAATCTCAGCTCCGTGCGCGAGCCGGTGATCTTCGTGACGGGAGCTCGCCACTTGGAGGTGAGCAAAACCCCGCAGCTGCATTCCGTGGGGGAAGCTGCTTTCAGCCTGGAGGAAGATCGCCATAAAGTGTCAAAGGTCCTCGCAGTTGAGTTCAAGAAGAGCTTGGTAAAGTGCCTTGAGAGAGGGGAGCTGGCAAAGTATCGCTTCCTCCTTGGTTGGCAGAAGCTGGGCTCTGGAGTACCATGCTTTATTACTGTTTTTTGGACAGGCTCCTTAAAAAGCTTTTATATCCTAAACCCTGAGCGGCCCTAAGCCATTAAAGACATGAGTAGACCTCACTTGAAGCCGTTCAAGAAACAGTCTAAGCCTTAAACCCTTAAAAGAAGCAGCCTGAACTCTAAAATCCTTACTCAGGGGCTGCATAGGTAACCTTCAAACTTTTGGGGCTAGCCCAAAAGGTTGACCTGTTTTGGGCTAGGATACTTAGCGCTGAGCCCTAAACCCCTAAACCCTACACCCTAAACCCCTAAACCTCTAAGCAGCCTTTTCGTTCCTGCCCGGCAACTTCAGAACCCAGGAAGCTTTGCCTCCGGGGACTTCCGCCGCAGCCCATGGAGTCGACCGAGGTGGGAGTTTAAGAAGGGTCTACGTGGAGGATCATGCGACTTAGTAAGTACAGTTATAAGTACCTTAATTCGGATTATAAGTATAGTTACCCTGATTATAACCCTAGTTACTAAGTCCCATGATCCTTTAAGTAGGGTTTCGAGTTTAAGGTTGAAGGTTTCGGGGTTGGGGTCTTGGAGCCCAGGGTTTTGGGCGTCAGGGTTTAGGGTTTCGGGTTTTGGGTTCAGGGGTTGGGGTCTAGGGTTTAGGGGGGCCCCACAGCTACGTCGGGCTTTCAGAAACAAGTGACCCCTAGAACAGAAGCGCAAAGAATCGGCTCCTCATTTTCAGGACCCCTAAATAAGGTAGCCCTAGATTTCTGAGTCTCCCATTTATCAAGATATTATAGAATACCCTCCCAAGCCCTGTCCTGAATTATCCAGGACCCTGAGAAACTAGCGGAAGAGTGGGATCCTTTTTCGAAGAGCAAAAATCCCAGGTTACCATCCCAGACTATGTGGCTCCAAGCGACAGCAGTGCGAAGACGATTCTGCTCACGAGGTTCCTGCATCAAAACGGCTTCCGACAGCCCCTGGAACGTCATTTCGGGTGGTCCCCCTTGTGCTACGCAGTACTGCATGGGGACCCTGCACTTGTGTCAGCGCTGCTGGAGCAACGTGCAAGCCCTAACGACCGGATCCACTGCAGCAGCCTGGAAGCCCTCTTGACAAAGAAGGCTTCAGTTCTCGAGCTTGCGGCTCGATGTCGCAACAATGAGGTCTTGAAGCTGCTTATTTCAGAACGTGCTGATGTGGATGGCCGCGATTCCATAGGAGTGAACCCCTTATAGCCCTAAACCCTAGTCCAAACCCCAAACACTAACGCATACACCCTGAACTCACAGGAGTCACGGCGCTTCTTGCGGCTGCTTATTCAAAGGATGCCACTGCCGTACGAATACTTTGCCAGGCGAGAGCCGACCCGAATCTGGGTTCTTCGTAACATATTTCAAGTTACTCTATATATATATATATATATACATATGCAAAAAAAGTAGAATAGTTGTAATATTTTCTAGTCTAAGCTACCACGGTAAGGAAAATGCTGTAGGATCCATACGATAGTTCCATGAAGCTTTCCTCAAGAACCCAGGAATGTCAAGAACGACTTTACTGACACCGCCTGGCACACGGCCTGCGAGGCAGGCTCCCTGCCGGTTCTTATTGAATCCATGGAACAAGTTTGAGCATTTGTTTTCGTTTTCTGGAAGTTGGAATGACTTGAGCTATTGGAACCGTCGCTTCCCTTTGAGGAGGTTCCTCGCCAGCTCATCTCATGTAACCTCTGTCGAAACATGTCGCAGTGATTGTATCGTCTGCCGCGAATGCAAAGGGAGTCAGGACTCACTGACATCTTGTCGGTACCGCATGCAGAGTTTTAGATGTCGGCTATTGTGCTGTGTTTCTCTAGAGCTCAATCTCTACACGGCGCAACTGACGAAAGCATGTGAGGGATCAGTGTGAACTTGCCGGGTCTTGCAGCAGTCTGAAAGCCTTCAATCCAACGCTGCTCTCGAACCGTTTCTCTTCTCTTCTCAAGACTTGTGCTGACTCTTTCGAGTCCTGTGCGCTCGCAAGCATGTGTTTGCTTAACCGCTGGGCAGATTCTCGATAAGCTATGAGGATAGGCGTATGGATCATGCCGCATTTTTCAACATTCAACTCGGCAAGAAAACGAGTACACGTCTTCACTTTGTTCACAGCACCCTGCCGTTTAGACGGGGGTCTGTAGAGAGAGTGTGGTGTTGGATTGGCGTTTGCAGCATTGAAAGGCAGCGGGGTACATTAGCCTGGCTTGCTGCCTTTGGTCCTTCTCTCGCTCTCTCTCTCTCTCTCTCTCGCTCTCTCTCTCGCTCTCTCGCTCTCTCGCTCTCTCGCTCTCTCGCTTTCTCGCTCTCTCGCTCTCTCGCTCTTTCGCTCTCTCTCTCTCTCTCTCTCGCTCTCTCGCTCTCTCGCTCTCTCGCTCTCTCGCTCCCTCCCTCCCTCCCTCCCTCCCTCCCTCCTTCCCTCCCTCTCTCTGTCTGTCTGTCTGTCTGTCTCTCTCTCTCTCTCTCTCTCTCTCTCTCCCTCTCTCTCTTGCAGCTGCCCTCGTCCATGGACAAAGGGGTCCCTGACAACAAACAACATGTCACCATTTGTAGATGCGGGAGCGTGCAGCATCCACAACCTACCTTGTGCAACGAAGCTACGGTTGTGCATGGGATATGCAGCCTCAGCAGCTGGACGTACCTGCATAAAAGGATCGCCCCCGGTAGCATGAAGCTTAGTCGGTAAGAAGAATGATTAGCGTTTTCCGGTTAAGTATGCGGCAGCGTTGCACCCCTTCCTCAAGCATGCTACATCTGCGGTACGACCAAGCAGCAGACACATGAGATGTGTCGACCCATTTTCGGATAGCAAAGGAACTGCGTGCCCAGTCGAACGGCCTGACTCTGAATCTCGAGCGGTGCCTGCACACGTTATCTCTGGGACCGGGCACGGCGGAGGCTGTTCACTGGCTGGTGGCAGCTTGGTTGCACTGGCCACAACAAGAAATCAGTTCTGGTTCTGAGAGCTTCGTGTGTCAGTGTAGATCTTTGTGAAAGTCGTTCAGGATGCACGAGCCGATGTGAACGAGCGCATGCGGCCCGGAACCTTCTTTATCTCCTTTGTCTTCGCTGCCAAGAGCTTGGAGTACAGATTCAAAGGCTCGAGGTCACAGTTCTGCTCAATTGCATATCATCACTCCGGCGCCACGCCGCTGATGTTTGCCATCCTGGCCGGGAACTTCGAGGTCGCAGCTGCGCTGTCAGTTCGCGGAGCCGATGCGCGCATCAAGAATTTCAGAGGGAAGTCGGCCGAGGATCTTGCAGCAGAACCTGGGCTCTTGTTCAGGAAAGTACTGCAAGTTAGCAGAACAAGGAATCCCCATCTGTTTCTGTAGGTCCCCCTTATGGTAACTTCGAGAAAATTCCTAAGCCCTAAATCCTAAACCTTCTAGTAACCCTTCTTGTGAGCCAAATTCTTCTTGTTCTTACAGCCAGGAAATGTCCGCTCGCCCTAAACCCTAAACCCTAAACCGCTGAAGAAGAGCCCAGGAAGTGTCCGCCCCAAGTTACCTCGTGGAGCTACTCGAGCGCTTTGATGTCTGCCGCTTCACCTCTGAGAGTCGAATCATCGGTGCAAAGCGGACATCCACTGTGTCCTTAAGATCAGAGGACTACTTCGAGATTTGAGTGGTTTAGGGGTTCAAGGGTTTAGGGTTAGTTCAGATGGTTTAGGGGTGTATAGTTGATGAGTCATGACTTTTCGTTCGTCTGAGAGGGCAACGCCTGCTCATGCAAGGCGATTTTAACCTTGAAGGACGAACCAGGCATAGCCACTGCGCAGCCCGCAAAGGGTTCATGAAAGTCATGGCATGTCGGGATTCTCTGTAGCAAAAGAAGCGCCGAAGGACTTCAGCATGTGCAGACCCCGACCTTGTGCCTTGAACGAATCGCGAGTGCAGAAAGCAAGGTCCATCCGTGGTGATTTTTCTTCGGTCGTAGATTTCCAGATGTGTCGAAGAGCTGTGCTCCGCTTCTGCCTGCGCCTTCCGTGACCTGACCTAATAATTACAAATTTGCCTCCTTCGGGTTCCTTGTTATTATAGCGATACTAGAATGGAGCCCAAAACCCTATTCTAATGGTTGAGGCCCCTACATTAGCCACGGCTTTTGCAACTTGAGCCAGTGGCCTCGCTTGTAGACCTTAGACACGCTGACTCTGGGGGGGTTTGGGGCGTGTTGGGGTCCACCGCAAAAGTACGGCCATTGGAAACATGACCAGATAACAAGGCCCCGAGCCTGTGGACCCTCAACCTTAGACCCTAAACGCTAAACCCAACCCTAAACCCCAAACTTGGGCCCAGGATTCTGTAGCGCGTCTTAGGTTGCCGGAAGATCCTGCTATGATTCTCCTTGATTTCAGTGGCTTCTTCACCAGGTTTTTCAGGTGGAACTTGTGGGGGTTACTATAAGGGTTCTATGAGGACTTTACGAGGTAGGGATCTCGACGATTGGGGGTTTGCGCCTAAACTCACTTAGGGACCATGACGGGACAGGATTTCTAAGTATTCCGACCTCTGCATTATTCTTTAGAGAACTTGAGTTTCAGAAGACTGGGACTATAGGGCTAGTATTTCTGGCTATTCAGGCCTCCCATATTGCCCTCCTTGCTCCGCGTCTCTTCGAAAGCCGGAAATCCTGCTGCCTTGACCTGCATCTGCCCAAGCAAGCAAGAACCTTTTCAAAGGGCCTTCGGGCTCAGGGTTTCGCTTGCGAATTCTCGCGCAATACAGAGCCGGAGCAGCAGCAGCTTCCCTTGTGTTGCAAGAACATCCGCTAATCCCGGTTTCAATCACTACTAAACGGTAAACCCTGCTCATGGCGAAGACGAAGACGAAGAAGAACACTTCTGCTGGGCCTGTGGCAGCAAAGAAGGGTGGCACCACTCGCCAGGATCCGGTTTGCTGAGCTTTGCATCATGTTGCTTACTGTAGGGTTGTGGATAATACAAGTATTCAGGGTTCCTCTTGACAGTTATCCTATTCTAAACATAAAGGACCCATTATTTGAGTTTTCTGTGCCAGAGTTGACATGTGAACCGCCTTGCGAGGCTTATCTTACACTAGCAGGCAGACTTGCAAGGCAGCGTGGGTGAGTTTCAGTCCTTGAAGCCTGTGTCTGTGTCCCACTTCTCTTCACAGGATGCTCGACTACTGGTCAACATCCGCGATGGAACACCGGAGCTCGGAAGTGGGGAGGGGAAACATGCTGTGGGATTCGCAATGTCGCAGTATGTTGTGCAACGTGGAGGAGTTAAACCGTTTGAACTTGCAGCGAGCTTCTTGAATCCATTTTTGAGTTCGGATGTCGCCCAGATGCCTTCCGTTCAGCCTCACCAACGACACGACAACACCAGAAAAACTCAGATTGCAATGTATTTCAGTTCGAAGTAGGTTGATGGAGTGAGAACTTGTAGACTAGAAACCCAGGCATGAGACAGGTGCAGTTCAGGTAGAATTGCACTGGCCATGCATAACGTAGTATACAAGCAAAGCGCACTCGTACTTGTCCTTGCTGTACGGATGACCCGCCTCTCCGCCTCCTCCACGCCTTCATCACCATCATCACCATCATCACCTTCATCATCTCTGTCATCATTTGTCATTGCGGCCATCACACTCGCGGCTATCGCAGCCATCCACATCCACGTCCACACCACCATCATCGTCAGCATCGTCATCACCAAAAAATCGTGACCATCAGAATCATCATCATCAGCAGCACTATCACCACCACCACCACCACCACCGCCGCCACCACCACCACCACCACCACCACCACCACCACCACCACCACCACCACCACCACCACCACCACCACCACCACCACCACCACCACCGCCACCATCAACGTCATCGTCATCATCATCATCATCATCATCATCGCCACCATCCCCATTTTGGTCACCCCGGCCTGCAGCATCCTGACCTTTTTCTTTTCGTTCTTAGTTCCTGCTGCGAGGAGGAAGCATATGAAGCAGCTGCGCAGGTAGATCCCAAGTGGAAAGTGCCGCTCGGCTCTGTAGCAAGCCCTAAGAGGCAGGCTGAAGTCGAAGTCCGAAGGTCTTTCGAAGAGCTCACCCACTTGCCCGGGTTCCATGACCTGTCCTGTGCTGTGAGGAAGGGCCAGACAGCGTTGTACTTTGCTGCTGCACGGCAGGAGGGCTTCACGTATCATGGTCGCTTCAGGATGCTCTGGAACCTTGAGCGCGAATTGATGCAATTTCCCCATCGACCGTGGAAGCCTTGACAGTATGAATGCCTTTGGTTTTGCTACATGGATTATTACCGAAGTATTGAATCGCTACATCGATATTGCAATCACCGGGTCTAGCATCAATGCTCCCAGATCTGTTTGAACTTTCAGCACAGACGTAGCCATCACAGCCGCCATGGATGCTGTGAGAACTGAATGCCACACATTTGTAGCATGGCTTTGACTCCTGTTGTCGTAGATGCTACCGAAGCATGGAAGGAGGTGGTGAAGAAGGTGAAGGGAGGTTGACGGTCCGCAAACTCAGCGCAAGCCGCAAAAAAAGCAAGTCAAAACGAGTCAAAACACCTCAAATTCCGAAGATTACTGCAGTGCTTCAGCACGAGCCCCTTCAAGCCTCTGGGTCGGTGCAGGACAGCAGGGCTGAGGGGCTGAGCCGATTGCTGATGAGGCCATGGGCAACGGGCCCGAGTCGAGTGCTTCCCTGGGTTTCGGTGCAGTGTGCGAAGTCCGGAGTCTGTGGAGTTTGTTGCGACCCTGGAATCCAAAGCCTCAAACGGTCTTTCCACGTCTTGAGGTTCAGTTGTTGAAGAGCATGGTGTGGAGCGTGGTCCGGTTGGGGTGGTTGGGGTGGGTGGGTGGTTAGGTTGGGTTAGGTTGGGTTGGGGTGGTTCGAAGGTGCGGGGTGGGTGGGTTGGTGTGTGGGTGGCTGGGTGGGCTGCGGCGCGTTTTCATGGCATCACCAAGAAAGTCGCTTACTTCATGCACTATGATGTTGAAGTCTGAACGCCAATGCGGCAAGCCCTAAGTAACCCCTCAACCCTATGACTAAACCCTAGACCCCACACACTATTGCTAAACCCTAAACACAAGAAACCCTCAAGCCTCGGATCATGCCTGAGGCTTTCAGCAGAAGGCTTGGAAGTACTGTGATAGAGCCTCGTAACGAGCTGCTCGGAAGTCTAATGTAGGGCCTGAATACTTGGTAGTAAAGTTTTCTCCCGGTTCCTTAATCTCGTCAACATGCTAGAATGTGCCCAGAAACGACATTCCAATCATTAACGTCCCCGCATGTGTTGGCGGTACCGACATCCTGACCTGACTCCGACATGATGCAGTTTTGGGGTCAAGGGTTTAGGGAACTTGAGCTCCAAAACGAGTGCATGCGACCTAAATTCGGCCACAAGCAGTGACCAGTGAAGACTTTAACCCCTTAGCAGCCCAGTCGACTCCGCAACAAGCCGGTGACAAAGAGGGACAACTGGGGGCAAAGCCCCTTGTCCCTCGGCTGTTTGGCATTCGGGTTCAGGTTGGGTTCTTGCTCCCTGTGGGCTTGTGGCTGAGTAGCCGAGTAGCCAGGACACCCGCATCCCCGAAACTCCCGGACCTACAAGTGGACACACACACAGACGAGCGGCAACGCGTTTTCATGGCAAGAGGGGCCCACTGCCTCAACCCTCAACTGCAGTTCGGCTTGATCTTGCCGCTGAGGTTCTATGCTGCGAGAGAGGGACACACTGAGCTGCTTGGATGGGTCCCTAGGGCCTTGGGGTTTGGGCCAAAGGGGCCGAAGCTCTCGTAATCGGAGGTTTCGGATATGTAGTGCTAAACTTGCATTGGGGATGATGTCTGGGTTGTGATGGCCATCCTATACAGAACCCCGGAGCTCCTGAAGCCTGGAGTGTGGCCGAGGCTCTGTGCTTTTTTCGTGGAGAAATGTGGCATGTCCGTGCACCAGGTGGATAAGTGGGGGGACACGCCGATCTTTTACGCGGTGGAGTTCCAGAAGCTTGAGACGATCATATGCCTGCTAAAGAAAGGAGCATCTCTCGCTGCTCTCAACCGGGAGGGGCAGTCGCCTGCCAGCATAGCCTCTTTGGAACTCACTCGCGAGCTGCAGGCACGGGTGGAGGAATGGGGCGAGCCCCTAAAGGCGCCATCTCCAGAGCCAGAATCCCCGAAGGCGCAGAAACGGAAACGGGCGGAGGAGGAGGAGGAGGAGGAGCTGGAGCTCTCAGCGGCAGAGGGCGTTCGAGCCTTGGAAGAGTGGGCCCAAAGGCCACCGAAGTTCCGCAAGAGTGCGAAGCAGAACAGACGGCAGCGCAAAGAGGCTGAAGTCCTTTGTGAGACCACCGAGTTCAGGCCCGAGTACAGCATCGAACTCCCGGCAGCAGATGCTCTGGAGGAGATCCGCCAGCTGGAGAAGACCGTGGTGGTAGAGCAAGCCGAGCTCTTCAAAGCGCAGTTCTTCATCCGCTCATGCAGGGCGGCTGACTTCTGCTCCGTGCTGGGCGCTTGCGAGAAGGATTGTCAGCCCCACGATGTTCCAGGGTTTAGTTGAGGGTTGAGGTTTTAGAGGTTAAGGGTTTAGGGTTTAAAGTTTAAAGGGTTTAGGGTTTGGGCGCGCGTGAGAAGGACTGTCAGTTTTTCCGGGAGTACTCGGAGGCCGTGGCCAAGCGTGGGAAGTCCGGATCCCTCGTGCTTGTGGCTCGGGAGACTGGGTTCTATTGAGGAGCTAAGCCATCTTTCATACTATAGGTCCCCATAATGTTAATGGTGACTTCTGTTCCCCGAACCCTAAACCTTACAGGTCCAATGTCTTATCAAGAACCAAGGCGAAACGAACCGACCGCATCGTGGCCTTTCTCCGTGCGGACTTGCGTGACCACGAGCTGGTCATTCGCCGTCACCAGGCAAGGTCGCCCGGGGTTTACTATAGAGGCCGCCTTCATTTGCAGTGCACTTATATTCGGAACCCTAAGGCATCATCTAGGCAATTATGCAGGCGAGCAAAACCCGGACCTGGAGTCCTGACGACAGCAGCCGAAACAACCAAGACAGTTCCAGACAGTCCAAACAGAACTTTTCTCTAAATAGTAGGACCCCTGAACCCTGAACCCTAGATTCTAAATCCTCAACCCTTAGATGTTAGACCCCTACCCCTGAACCCTACACCCCTACATGCACTGGGAGGTGCATCAAGACCACCACGGCCAAGGACTCGACAAACTGCTAATCCAGTGCGCCGAGGCCCAGGCCTGGAAAGGGTTTCAAGATTGGGTAGAAGGTTCAGGGCTTAAGGTTTAGGGTTGAAGGTTGCAGATTCAGAGTGTATTTGCGGGGTTCAGGGTCAAGATTCCCAGTCTGGGATTTGGGATGTTTTAGGATTCAGATTCAGAGCTTGGGACAGCTCCGGGGCTGTTGTCCGAAGGAGGATCCGTGGAAGCCGGAACAATCCGTCTCGGCAGCAGTGATCATTTTTGGGCACAGGCTTGAAAACTAAGGCAGTCTGCGTTCAGAGTTCGTGTGTTTCGTGATGCATGAGGATAGCACTTTAACTTTGCAGGTTGAAGTTCATGCTTCACTTGTGATTGTGGTCCGAACATTCATCTTTAGCATCTTGGGCCGAAGAAGTGTTGGTGCTGATGCACAGCGGACGACATGCAGCACGGCCCGCCCGATTGCTTTAATCTCAGCATGACAGCAGCGGCTTGTCCTCGATCGTGATACGGCCATGATGCTGGTCATGAATGCTGTTGCAACGGTGAAAGCAACAGAAGTACTGGCAATGTTCAATACCATGGCTCCAGTCATAGAAGAACAAATGGTACTCACAGGCAAAATGCAGTAGACCTAGCCCACCCAGTAGCAATAGTAGCTGTGGTAGAACTAGAAACGCTGCTATAAGACCAATCTAACCCTCAGATTCGTAACAGTGCGAGTGCTCGCACTAGTGCGATGGGGCCTGGTCCCGTCATTGTCCTCGGTTGTGGCAAGCGCCAGGTTTTGTACGAGTATCCGTGTCATCAGCTGTATCATGGCAAATCACATGCTCCACCATACGTTGTAAACGAACAGGTGACCACCCAAGCGCCCTTATACAACCACAAGAGAAAAGCTTCGGATCATGCAGCCCACCGCACGGTGAGGCATTGAGCACGGGATGGGATTTTCAATCCGTTACGGTGCGCCTGCTGAACGTGCACTCTGCAGCGCAGCGGAAGTTCTTGAGATGCTCGGGCCGTTCTGGAAAGGAAGGGGTCGTGTCCTTGAGCTTCCTGTCATTGGCAATTGGCGCCTCCCACAATTACCGCAGGCACTCTCTGTTTATGTTTCTCCCACTCTTTCTGTTCCGTTTGTTCTGTCTAACTCCAACTCTCTGTCTCTCTCTCTCTCTCTTGTCATCCGGCTTGTGCTTCCGTGTGCCTTCTTGATCTTCTTGCATTTGCTGGATTTGCACTACCACCGTTGAGGTATTTTTGTCTCTGTGGATTTGGGATTTTGTGGGCATTTGATTGGATTATCCACGTCGTAGCCCAGAGCCTGCAGGTCCAAGGGAAGGGTAACTGTCAACAGATGTGTGGCCTTTGCAGTAATGCGCAATATTACTCTTTAGGGTTCACTACTATGACAATGCTACAGTATACCCCCACGCAAAGAACCTAGTCTACTTGAGACCCTACATTCCTTGTCTTGGGAGGGTACTCGTATGGCTGAGGACTTGGCTTCGACATCAAGGAGGAGCCAGCAGCAGACCCGTCTATGAGCACGCTCTCCATGCAACGGGGTTGTGAACAGGGTTTAGGATTTAGGTAACCAGAGTAATCATTACTTATATCTCCAGGGAAGTAGACCAAATGCTTGAAGGATCATGGGACTTCGCAGTTAGGGTTGTGAATGGGGTAACCAAAGTAACCGTTACTTTTGGCTCTAGCTGCGGTATTTATACTTTTGAAGGCTGAATGATTAGCAATATTCGTCCTCAGGGTTCCGAAAATCATAGGTATACTATAAATCTATAAAGGAGCCAAAACCCTATTCTAGTTGTCAAAAGAGGCCCCTACATTGCCCTACATTAAGCTTACGTACTACCTCCCCTGATCCTCCAAGAAGCCCTGCTCAGGCGCCTGAAGATGGTCCGACGCGCGAATCACGTCCCGGCTCCCCCAAGCGAAAGCGAGCGCTTTCCACCAATAAAGCCCTACGCACCTTGGCTTTCGTTTCAGATGTCGGATGTGGCGAGTGGGTTCCCTCTTCAGCTCGTTCAGGGTTTGGGGTTGAGGGCCTTGGAAACTCCGTGACCTTGCAGCACGAGGTGCAAACTGCTTTCCCGACACGGCACCTCAAGCCTGTGGAGGAGCCGACTCAGAGGGACACTCCAAAAAACATTCGATTGCACGTCCCCGCACGTCAAGAGTTATCATGTCTAATCCACGAACATCAACTTTTCAGTCCAACGCATTTTACCTGCCCAGAAGTGTGGAGAGACACCTGCAGAGGAGCCGATGTTCCGAGCTCTCAACGCCGCAATGTGGGACGACGTTGACTCTTTGACCCATCCGTCGATGCCCCCTCTCATTCCCGTCACACCATAGTGGCTGGACGAATCGCGGGACTGACCTTGCAGTACAGATGCTGGATGTTTGAAAATTCAGTGTCTCGCGTCCAGTGTGTCGAGTTGAGTCATTGAGGGGGTTTGCATTGCAAGTTCGGGGTTCTCGACTTAACTGGAGGAGATCGTCCCCAGGTCAAGTCCAAAACAGGCGCTATAGATTGCCTGGTAAGGGTTCTTGTGGCTGGAAGGCGTGGGTCGGGATATCAAACTCTTGAAATGTGTTTTGAGGGTTAGGGCTTAGGATTCTGGATATCTTGACTCCAAGTCTTTTGTATTCCATACTTTCATGCCAGACTCCGTGTGCTAGTTTTCATGTGCTTCGGGCATTCGTGTTTCTCATGCTTGGAGGGGCGTCGAAGATCACGAAATGCAGGTGGCTATCACGAAATGGAGCATCCCTGAACATGAAATCATCCGTTGGAAAGGTTCCTCGCCACGCCATCTCATGTGCTGTTGCAACAGTTGTTAGAGTCCACACTCATCCGACGCATGTTTTCAGTGTTGCTGGCAATTCAAGTGAGGTCACGCTTAACATGCTACCCCACAGCCGTCGATAGTCTCTACATTGTAACTCCATCGGTCAAACAGCTCATCCCTACATATTGCAGCACAACCCGCGCAGCAGATTTAAGAAGTGCAAGTGTGTTGCCAGAATCATTTTCCCAAGATGCCATGTTGCGGCGCACCTCCGGAGAAATCTGCATTGGCAGACTATGCGAAGTCCTTGCGCACCCAGGAAGAGGGAGGCAGTCCAGACTTCACGGCAGCGCCCTTGCTCTTCCCAATGTACACCGTGCCTGTGGAAGCCTTATTGCAGATGACAGAGAACGAGCCCCATGAAGTGCTGAAGGCGAAAGGCGTGGTTGTCAAGTTCAAAGAGAGCATGGGCAATGCCGTGTTTGTTTCTCACCAGTGGGTGGGGGACAACCATCCAGATCCTGAGTTCAAGCAGTTGCGAGTGTTGCAAGATGCGTTGAGGCATCTTTTGCGCGAGATGGGGCACGTTCCCATGGATATGTTCACAGAGATGTTGGTACCCAGTTCGAAGCGCTTGCGCTTGGAGGAGCTGCGATCCGCACCGCTTTTTATCTGGTTCGATTACTTTTCGTGCCCGCAGCTCTTGGGGCAAGGTCCTGCGCAAGGTTCGGACAGCGACCTTTCCAAGGCCATCAACAGCATCCCAGCTTACGTTGCCAAGTGTCGCTTCTTCTTCGCCCTCTGCCCTGTGGTCCCACAAGTAAGCCTTAGCAGTGTGTTCACGCCAATGACATGGGGGGCGCGCGGATGGTGCAGGGTTGAAAGAGTTTGCCGCGAGCTGTCGAAAGATCACACCTGGGTCATGATCAAGAGTGGCAAGGAGATGGAGTTGATCTCATCCTCCATAGCCTTCCCAGGAGGGTCCGCAGGCGAGGGCCTCTTTACTGTGGCAGAGGATCGCAACAAGCTTGCTCCAGTCCTCGAGGGAGTGCTCATGCGAAAGATGATGTTTTTGCTCAGAGCGCAGGATCTGGTGGGCTTTCGGATACTACACAACATGCAAAGTGTCCACTTGAGAGGCTTCCCTACAGCAACGATCGTGCGCGACTTGGTTCCCGGCTTCGACTCTGAAGATCCCCGACAGGGCAATTCTGCAAGCCAAGAGGTAGATCGCTTCTTGTATCAGAATGGATTACCCAACATTCACGCAGTCGACAAGGCCGGGTGGGCACCGTTGCACTACGCAGCTTTGGGTGGAAACCAGGACTTGATACGAGGCTTGCTGGAGCAGCGGGTCAACGTGAACTGTTGGACCGCGAAGCTAGGCTCTTGAGTAGTGTTATTTTCGATCATGTACCCTACCATATATATATATATACACATATGAAAAACACTAACCATACTATTAATAGCAAAAATCAACAAATAAAACCAATAATAATGATAGCTTGCCGAGCTTTGAAGGGGCGTCTTTAGCCGTAAAACCCTTGGTTAATCTAACCCTCATCAGTTTTGGGTATTTAGCACCTGTCCCTTCCGAGATTTAAGCTTCGTTTTTGGGTATTACACTCTTATCTGTTCTAGAGTAGATTGGAAGCGTGAGTGACTGCTACTTCTACTGCTACTGCTGCTGCTACTGCTACTGCTGCTGCTGCTGCTTCTACTTCTCCTGTTACTGCTACTACTGCTATTGCTGCCCCTACTCATTCTGCTGCTGCTACTGCTGCTGCTGCTGCTGCTATTGCTGCTCTGCTTCTGCTACTGCTACTGCTATGCTTCTTCCTACATAGTATTGACGAATAACACTAATACATGTAGTCAGGAAAGAGCAGCCTCTGGTTGGGGCGCACTCGGGCCTGACTGCGCTTCAGCTCTGCAGCTACCTCAAGCATCATGAGGCCGATGCGGAAATCTGAATGCGCAGAACCTCCAACAGTCCTTGATGAAGGAATAGGGGGCTTCGGAGTTTACCCTTCAGGTTTAAGGATAGTCGGTTGTCAAAGAAAATTTTCAAGACTACGAGAAGCATCCGAACTTGGATTATGGCATGGTCGTCAATCGAGGACCTTTGAAGCCTCTGAGCAGTTAGTAATACCAGTCGCCGTCTAAGAAACCATGCGGAGGTTGTTATAGGGAATGCGATAGTGTTTGTTTTCATATGTTTCATCGCCACGGAAATGGTCCAACCAATTAGGCCGATGTCTTATGCGTCACGAGGCTATGCGCCTGTTGATTTCTGCTCGGGCCAACCTCACCTGTGGCATCCTTGCAGAACAGGCCGTCACGGCAGCCGCTATTGCAAACGATCCTGAAGGCGTTCGCATCCTGTGTGAGGCGCGGTGTGATCCCACGAGACCCAACAGGCTGAACATGCACGCCATTGATGCTGCTGCAGCTCTTGGTGCCAGCGTCGCCCTAGAGGAGCTCTTGATGCAAGCAAGGCACGATCTCTACAAGGTGAATCTGTCCAACTCCCTCCATTGGGCCATGAGTTTCTCATCTCACCACTTCACACATCTGGGAAGCAGAATACTTTCAAGAGAACTCATTATAGTATCATCATAACAAGGAACCCTAGCAATAATATTGGTAAATCTTTTAAGGTCCCTGCATACATTACTTACCTCCTAAGTTCGCGAAGTATCAGGTTTTCGGGGTGGCAGCGCCGAGATTGTAAAGGGGCTCCTGGACGTCAAGGCAGACATGGACTACCTGAATGTGACAGCAGACATCCTGGTTCCTAGGCTGCTGTATTACAATGAGTTCCCGTGTCTTCCAGCGTACTCTTCTGGATTCTAGCAGGCTGAAAGTGTAATACAGTAGTAGGTTGCCGTATTGATAATATCTAGTCATTAGTATAATAGTAGATTCGAATACGTTATCGTAGATGATAGCGTAGTTTAGAGTAAATTGCGGTATGTTAGAATGCATCGTAGTGCTCGTTCACCCTCTGATTTCTGGGCTCTCGATTGTAGTGCAACAAACCCGCAAGAGGATTTGTTTTGCGTCCCCAGGGGTGACCAGCCTAGGTTCTCAAGCTTATCTTGGCAGCGAAGGGCCTTCAGCATAGATTTGGAAGGGCCACAATGATGACGCGGTGGATCTACCATCTCCAGTACCAGACACCTCTCATGGCAGCTGTGATCTCCGGACAATATGAGGGTGCAGCAGCTTTGGTTGCTTGTGGGGCACGCCTGGATGCGCGGAACGCGCGCGGGTGGATGGCTTCAGATTTTGCACGAGAGCAGTTAGTGCCAGACTTTTTAAAGCAGGCTTTTGAGGGACAGGCACAAGACTGCGAGACGGTCTACATGTTGGCAATCGCAAATTCCTGTGTTGAGCTGTAGCAGCTGGTTGCTCAGATCCAAGGTAGCCGAGCCTTCTGAATTCTTGTTCTCGGCCACTAGCGATCTGACCGTGGCAGTGTGCCAGAAGGCAGTGTGCCACGGGGCAATGTGCTAAATAGCACTAGGCCGTTCTTTTGCTAGCATGCTGCATTTCCAGCCAGAAACCAAGCATCTCTCATGCCACACTTTCTATCACCGTTTCGAATCCTTCTACGAGCTCTTCGAGCTTGCTGCTTCGTATCCTTCTATGGGTGATTCTTTGGAGAGTCGGTTTTTGTGAGTCGGTGCTGTTCAGCCTGTACGGGTAGTTGTCAAAATAATGGTCTCGTTTGGGTACCGTTAGTATTAGGTGCCGTATTTACATCAAGGACGTAAAAAGGGAACTCAATTTTGACGACCACCCGTGTGTTTCGTCATTGTATTTCTCTCGGGGCTGAGTATGTGAGGCCATAACGGGTCGTAGGTTAGTATAGTCACGATAACGTTAGCCTTATTTATTACCGTAAGGTAAAAGCCAGAAAGTTGGAATATCATTATCCTATCCCTTCTATGGTAAATTATAGGGTATCCTACTATGAAACCATATTTCAACTTTCTGGAGTTCCTGTATTTACTAGGTTACTAGGTCCCATTATCCTTTAAGCACCTGCAAGCAACTGTAGCGTGAAAGAGCTGGCCGACAGTCAGACATACAGCTTCGAAGGCAGAAGGCATGTGACATAAGAAAGAAGCCTAAACCTACAGTAGCCCTTCTAGAACCCTCAACGGAAGTCTCTTCTAGCGATTAAGGCCCCTTTTTTCGAGAGCCATGGTGGATCTGGAGCCACGGCCGCCTTCTGACGAGCAAAGGCTTGGGTGGCTCCTACGCAGGAAGGCCATCAGATTGGGTTCAAAATAGAGGGGTCTGAATGAATACTTGCTAGTACGTACTACCCCCTGGGTTCCTTTATATAACTTACTATAATATACCTTCAAGCCATACTCTACAGTTGCTAGGGCACCTATATTAGTTCGGATTATTTCCGGGTTCAAGCGGGACGTCCTTGCAGACTCGTTATTTCAGGACTTGACCACTAAAGTGGGCTACGCAGCTACAGCGCGGCATTCTTGGTGATAAGAGAATGACTTCAAGGAACTATGAGAGCTTGAGTAATTACCAATACTACTCCGTAGAGTTCCTTCATATAGTCATGCTGTGGTATACCCCAAAACCGCATGCTAAGCACTTCTCGGTTGCGAGAGGTCAAACCTGTACAAGCGAGTCGAGGGCGCGCTGCTTGGACCCTCGTGTTGGCCAGCAGAGCCTTTCCTTCCATGCAGCTCGGGTTGGTTCAGGATTTCAGGGTTGAGGGCAACATAGGGGCTTGTTAAATTAGCAACAGTATTCCTTATACTATATCCGAAGTTCTCGTTCCAATGCCCTTATCCATAAACCCTTATCCTTTATCCCTGAGCGCCTTGAATCATCCCCGAAGCCGACCTGAACCCAAGCTCTCAACAACGCCCTAGGCCCTAGATTCTAAAACGCTCTAAACTCTGAGCCTTAACCGAGCTCCCTTCACAGCAAGGCAAGTCTTAAGCCATGCGCTGGAGGGCTGCCCCTTTTTGGGGTCTGCAGTTTTGTAGATGGGGGTTTCCGAAATAGAGAACCCATATATAGTGCCCGAAATAATAAGATCCTTATTGTAAGGACCCCAAAATAAGGTGCCCCTGTTTTCGGAAACTCCCAGATCTTTCAGGAAGTAGAGCAACTAGTCGAACATTTCTTCCCTGAATCAATTCGGAACCTTTTCTCGTTCCTAAATCAGAAAAACCCTATCCTTAATACCATGGAGAACCCCGTTTCGAGCCTTCACTCAATCTCTTTGAATGCAAACTCGCCCCTCAACCACTATTATATTGCATTCTATTGTTTTGTTATATTGCGTGAAAACTCACCCCTGAATTGGGCATAGTACTATCTTATCACATATAATACCGTATAGTCGTATACTATAGTAAACCCCAGAAAGTTGGAACATAGATTTAGGATGACTCATGCTGGGATTCCCTATACTCTACTCTACAGGCATGAGGCTAATATTGTTCCAACTTTCTGGCTTCTAATATAATAGGGCCCTAATATAATCCTATATAATCCTTATGGTCACTGTTACAGGGTGGGGGCCCCTTCTAAGGTATAGTCGTATACTATAAAAACCCTACGTCGACGCTCCTCTCAAGGCCCGGTGCCCTGGCGCCTTTGCCCGCGGCCGCTTCTTTGAGCCCTCGGCTGCTGACGTCCCGGATCGCCAAGGTGCCTTTCATATTGGTTGCAAGTGTTTTTTTTTGTTTTGTTTTTTAGGTTTTGTAGGGCTTCGCGGGGTGTAGAGCTTTTTGCAGGGTCTGAGGGCTTTGTCGGGTCTTGCGCTTTTCGTCGTTTGTTGCGGCTGGGGTCTTTATTGGATCACTACAAGGCTTGGTAGGTTGATACGTGCTCTTGTAGGGTTTTACAGGTTTCGGTGAGATCAGGGTTTTGCGTGATTTCAAAGGGTTGTACAGAGTTTTACGGGGTGCAGTGCTTAGTGTGACAAAACGGTTTCTACAGGGATTGCCACAATACTACAAGACTTCCAGGGCTTGGTTCTTCGGGGTCTGGCCGTCCTTAGTTCCTTTCGAGTTCGGGACGTCGGGGCTTGATGGTTTAGGACTGGATGTTCCTGGTTCAAGATCCATGGTCTCGGGCATTCTAGGATTGACGGTTCAAGGCTTTCACTTTTTGGGGGTTCACCTGATAGGCTTCTGGGGCTTTATCCCGATTGAAACCCTTTCTAGCACAAGGGTTTTGTACAACTCTTGAGAAGAGCATTTCGTCGACCTTTAGAAAACCATTGGACAGAGCATTGTAAATATCCTTAGCAGCATCTGCTGAAGACCTGTAGCAAACCCTTTCTTACAGCCCTCAAACAGAGTTTCCTGCAACTATGTGTCAGTAGCAGTGTCATGCTTATTGTGAGTGTTACTACACTCGAGGTGGTGGCGTTCTCGATTTCCCCTAAACCCTAAACCCTAAATCCTCATTTAAGAGGGCTTCTTGGCTTTTCTTTGAGCTGCAGAGGCTAGATCTGCTGCGGCCGTCCTCTCGGAGGTGGACCTGGCTGCGGACCCGGGTTTAGGTTTTACGGGCTTCGAGGTGTAGGACGTTTAGGGTCCAGGGGTTCTTGAACAAAATTCCACAACTTAATTCGCATAGCATGGTAGGATGCCAAAAGGGCATCATGTTCGGGATATGTCGTGAGCACTGTGCTCTCCTTTCTGCGGTAGCTTCACCAAACCTCCTTAACAAAGCCAAGAGTCCTCAAACCCTAATACTAATACTAATACTAGACCCGAAAGCCAGGACCTCCCAATCTTCAACGAGTTTCATGTGGGAGCCGCCCTCTCCCGCCTGGCGCGGCTCAAAAGCTCCAAGAGCCTTGGCCTGCGGGAGCTCCGGAGCCCCGTGTGGCGGAGGTGCAAAGACCCCAGCGGCTTAGTGGGGGGGGGGGGGCTGAGTGGGTAGCCTTTGACCTGTTGGAGTTTCGGGAATCCTAGCATATTTTGTTTTAAAGGCTTAAGGTGGTTTGGGCTCGGATGCTCAGCCCTTAAGCTAATGACTCAGTGGCCCAAAATACCCTTGAGCTGTCTGCGGAAAAGGTTTGTGCAGGATGGCTGTCAGGGAATGGTACATGTGCACCGCATTAAACCAGACTGTAATCTTGCCAGACAGCGGGCATGGAACAGGGGTCTTTGGGTCTCCAAGAGAGTCGGTACCAACCACTGAAACTATCCTTGTAGTAACCCCTTGTAGTACTCCCTCCGTATCCCTACAGGACCCCGGTAGTACCCCTATGGTACCCTGATCGCACCCCTAAAGTAGCCTTTATTATCGTAACCCTAAAAATAGCCCTATAGAAAGTACCCTTATAGTACTCCTGTAGTAACTTAGAAGCTCCTATAGTTCCCCTTAAGTACCCCTAAAGTAGCTCCTTCTTCTACCCCTATGTAACCCCAAAGCCTAAGCCCCTGTATAGTACTCTAGGTACCCTTGAAGGAAGCGGTAAAGGAACCTTGGAGGAAGCCTTAAAGGAAGCTTTAAAGGAGGCCTTAAAGCAAACCTTGACGGAGCCCTAAAGGAACCCTTATACCCTTCACGTGGAGGTTGGAGTCGCAGCTGCAGCGCCTGCTCTCTGCTGACCAGCTGCAGCCCCGCCAGCTTTCCAACAGCCTGTGGGCCTTGGCTGTTCTAAGGCAGAGCCGGCCACAGGCGCTCTTGTGGGGTTTAGGCGAGGATTTAGGGATTAGGTTTGGGGGGTTTGGGGATTGATGGGGTTTAGGGGTTGAGGTTTTTTAGGGACCGAGGGTTCAGGCAGTTCTAAAGTACAGCCGGTCACAGGTGCTCACGGTGCGCACGGTTCCGTTGCTCTTGCGACGCATGCAGGCAAAGGCCGCGCAGATGAGCCTTGCTTGCTTATTATGGGAGACATGGCACCTCCCAAAGAAGCCTTTCCGAAGGGGAGTTCCACCCGGAGACGTGGCAAGCATTGCCATCGCCTATCCCCAATTTTTCCGAAGTCATAAACCCTTTACACCCTCACCCACACTGTGGACCGAGGAAGGCCCAGGACGTATCCAACAACCTCTGGTCCCTTGTTCAGCTGCGCAGCCATACCTCGGAAGAGCAACTTCGGTCTGCTATCAAAGCGGTGGTGGGCCAGCTGCGCCGCACGGTGTGCTTTGGCTTGTTTTTAGGTTCATCGCAGACCTTTTTCAGGGCTGCCCTGGTTGAGAGATTTGCCAGTTCAGAAAAGAATGTTACGGTCGGGGGTTCGGGTTGAGCATTTTCGGGGCTTCTGGCCAGATACAATGATTCAAACCTGATGTCCTATTCAGGACGTAGCAGAGGTGAGTATCAGGCCTTTGGGCTTTGCCACACTCCACTTCCCAATCATAAACCCCAAACACTAAAACCCTCACCCGTAAATCCCAAGCCCCAAACCCTACACCCTAAACTCAAGACCTATCTCCCCAAACCCTAAACCCCAAACCTCAAAGCTTAATCCCTAAACCCTGTTGTGGGCTTTCGGGGAACTTCATACTCATAAGCCCAAGCCCCAGAACCCCAAGCCCTAAACCTTGTACTTATACCTTCAACGAACAACTCTTTAACCCTGATTCCAGGGGCTCCATGAAGGCTCAAGAGTTGACGAACAGCCTCTGGTCTTTGGCGCAGCTGAAGGAGACCGCGCAGCTTCAATGCGCGCCTTGAGGGTTTGGGATTTTTCGGGATTGGCACCCAACCTTAAGCCCTGAAGCCCAAACATATGAAGCTCGAGCAGGTCGTCATGACCGCAGAACAACTAGAATCGGGTGATTTTTGTTAGCGAGCCCTAAGGAAAGTATTGGCAGTTATTCATACGTCTATAGAGCCTATAGTCGGTATGCTGTGTGGTTATGTTGTGTCTTCTGTCCTACAGCATCAGGTATGTGCATTGAAGCCAGGTCAGCTCTGAGTGTAGTCTGAACGCGGCAAGCATGCCGATCGAACTACTCACCGGGAGTTAGCGGCAGATTTTGTATTTGGGGTCCGGTGTTTCCCACTCCGAGTTTATGGGTTTAGGGTGGGGCCCGGAGCCTCATGGTTAGATGTGGAAGCCCCAAATTTTCGCCCGAAAATCCTGGACAAACAGCCCCATGCCTGAAACCAATCCTATTTTACCCAGTAGATTCCACTTCCAAGTAACATATATATATATATATATATATATATATATATATATATATATATATATTTACACCGACCCATTAGTCTCCATTGTAGTCCCTTTTTTATTGAGTTTTTCCAATTACATATTTAGGATGCCATAAGGTAACCCAAACATACAATGAAGACTATAGATCGGTAAAACCTAAACCTCAGGAGGCTGCGTCCACGGCGAAGTCTCACCGAGCCTTGGTGGCCTTGGCCAACCGCATTGCGCAAAAACCCGGCGGAATGATCCCCCAGGCGTTCGATATTGGAGTTTCTTAGCCCATTTGCAGGTTCCGGTTTTGGGCTTGAGGGAAGTGTAAGGCTTCAGAAAGTCAAAGGGACCTGATAAGGGACACTTATGAATATCAGGATCCTTCGATCCAGGCTTGCGCTTGGCGGCGATTAGCTTTCAGTGCTTTGTTGGACGAACTGTAGTCTCCATTGCAGTTGCTGTTTTTTGTTTTTGTTTTACCAGCTTCACATGATGAATCTTATGGGCTAACCCAACAAGGAAACGACAATGGGAACTACAGGTAGTTCAGAAGTTCAGGGATTTGATGGGTTTCGGAAGTTCACGCTTCTGTCGTGTTTCCCGTTCTAGGGTTAGGGCACGCAGGCTTGTCGTCGTATGTCGTTGCGGACGCGTCGAGGCTGTTGCTCTAAGCTTGCAAGCTTCTGTTGTTGAGGTGTCAGGAACAAGACGCTGTTGTTCCACCATAATCAATGAGCAGGCTTATGATAAACCTGCTGATCTGACAGGCACTGGCCAACTGTCTCTGGGCCTGTGCGGAGCTCCTGGATGCTCTGCCCAACACCACGAGTGCTGCGAGCGTGCGACGGGCCATCCAGGAGGCTGTCCCTCCCTTGGCCTGCCGTGCAGCTGCTGCAGCTGGGAAGATGAGGCCGCAGGAGCTGAGCAACTGCCTCTGGGCGGCCGCGCAGATGCAACAGAGCGTTCCAGAAGTGTTGGTACCAGTGAGGGCCGTGGCTGAGAGCATCGCGCAAAGTGCCAGTGAGATGAAAGAACAGGAGTTGATCAACAGTCTTTGGGCAGCTACATGCTTGGCGGACACGGTGCCAGAGGTGAGGAGAGCCGTGCCGGCCATATCGCAGTACTTGCCATCGAAGGTTATTGAACTGATCTCCGAGGGCAGAGCAGCACTTGGGGCGGCATGACCATGCCCGGCGGGGCTTCGGAGTCGATCGTTCCCTCGCAGCATTCAGCCGTTCCCAGCAGAGCATTCTGTCGAAGCGATCCCTCTCGGACTCTCAGCCGGTGCGCCGCAAAGTTAGGTGGGGGTGCTGGGCGCGCACGATCACCTGGAAGAAGACTTGGACCAAAACTGAAGACAAGACTCGCACTGACAGTCCCATCATGGCTTCGGCACGTGCAATGGGCTTGAGGGAAAACGGGCATCGCAGCTGGTTCCTATTCCAAAACGTATTGAGAACGTGCAACGAACGTATGACGTCGTGGCAGTGGTTGAGAGAGTCAGCGCCCTGAGAGCACCGCAAGCTCCTCAGATTTTGGCTTCGGATCCCAGCGGTACTCGTAAGTTACTACATGATGGCAGAAGGCTTGGGTATTTGGCATGGACACCGCAGATTGGCTGAACTACATCATACATCCATGATGCATGTTGCAAAGCCAGGCCCATTTGTTTTTCCCTTTCCGAGAACCCTAAATAACCCCTTACCCTTGAACCCTAAACCCTTAAACCGGAAAGCTCTTGAGCTCGGTGGGTTCCTGTGAGGGGCTTTAGAGAAGCAGGTGACTCCCCAACGCACCCGGGCCTGGCCCAGGCCCAACAGCACCCAGCCCGAAAGCCAAGTAATGATAACAAGGGGCCGAAACATTAATTCGGTATAGCAGACTCAGACCCCGTAGTCGAATTCTTGAGGCCCTATGGTGCCATCCAATCCCACCCAACCCGTTTGCTCCGCATCGCCCATGGCGGCCCGCACCTCTTTCAGCTTCGCGCCGCCCAGTCGAGCCGTCTGCCTTGCTAAAGGGCTTCAGGTGTAATTGGCTTTAGAGTCTAGAGATCATGTGCTTAGAACGGAGTGTGAAGAAACATGGATCTGATTCTGATTATATATGTTCCGCCACAAGAATGTCAAGTAAGGGCTGGGTGCATGGCAAGGTTTGGGGTTCAGGGTTTCGGTTTTCTTGTTTCAGGGGAGTTCGTGTGTGTAAACGGACTGGCCCGAACTCGCCGGAAGCGGGAAGACCAGCTTCATCGCTGTGAATCAGGTTTACTTGTTGTATGTTATTCCCCACGCTTTTCATTGTAAGTGCGGGTTGCAGAAAGTTCGGAGTATGTCTTATGCACAAGAGGAGTGGCAATCTGTCGGCTTGGGTGGATAAGCTCAACAGAGGCACGGGAGTGGAGTGTAGGATTTGGATCGCACTGGTTTGTCTCGTTGTCGTACCGGAGAATGGATCCCTTCCTTTGCGAAACTGATGTGGCAGCCGGCAACCCCTTCCAGGCCCTTCCACTGTGCTTCAAACGCGAGCGCCCTGAAACCCTGAGCTCTAACTCCGAAATCATTATAACAACTGTTGCTATCAATATGATTGTTCCTTGTTAGCATGATTATTACATCCCCGAAACCCTAAACGCCTAAACCTCCGAACCCCTAAGCCCCTAAACCCCAAACCCCTAAGCCCTGAACCCCTACAACCCTTGAAGCTCCTAAACCTCTAAGCCCTGAACCCTAAGCCCTTCAACTTAGATGGAAACCCGAGGTTTAGAGATGTGCCTACAGCCCTAAGTGCCTAAAGTAAAAGCCAGAAAGTTGGAATATGATTATCCTAAAGCCTTTATGGTAAATTACAAGGTATCCTTCCCTGAAACCATATTCCAACTTTCTGGAGTTCCCTTTAAATGCCTAGACCTCTGAGCCTCTGAACCCCTACGCCGCGAGCTTTCTGAGGTTCTCCGACCTGCCCCAGACCAAGATCTCGAAATAGGCCAGGCTCGGGACACGCTGCCGGTGTGACTGAACATCAATAGTTGCCACAGCCATATTCATAATGGGTAACAGAGCCAAAACTTATAATAAGAGCTAGTAAGACGGATAAGGGGACTTAGTAAGTCATGCCATAGTTACCCTAGTTGGAGCTACTAGCAATTATCATTCTGGTTGCCTTCCTTAGTCAACCCTGGGTACGAAGTCCCATAGTTCTCTTAAGTGCACCTTATAAAACCCTTCTGGAGCCCTAAATTAGAAATCATTTAGTACTAAGTCCCATGATCCTTTGCCAGTCATAGGCCCCTTACAGGAATACGAACTACGATTTATCTTATACGTTGAATTATTTCCTAGTCTAGCCTTTCTATTGGTTGCAATTCTCATTGTAGTTGTTCTTGCGTCTCAATAGCCTAAACCCCAAATCCTAAACCCTAAATCCTATAGACCCTAAACCCTGAACCTTAAATCTTAAACCCTAAGCCCTAAAGCCAACCAGGTCTCGAGGCCGTCGAGGCCTTGGTGCCCCGCAGCCCGCGGCGGGACAAGCTGCTCAAGGACGCTCAGCACCCTGGGGTTTGGGGGGTTCTGGGTTTAGCGTTTCGGGTACAGTAGGGGTTAGTGTTAGGATTGCGGTTTCGGGTTTGGGGCCTAGGGCTTCGGGTTTAGAGGTTGCTGGGCTGCGCGAAGGTCTGGTAAGTGTCAGACGCTAGACGTCCTTTTTGCAAGCTTTTTCAAGGCTCGGTTCGGGATTTATCACTGGCCCTAGGCTTCATGCTCGAGGTGATTGGTGTCAAGACCCAGGTTTACACAACGTACCTGGGGTTTGGGGTGTAGTAGATATGCCTGTTACTCTAGTCTCCAGCCACCCTAGTTGTGACGAACCGCCCACAGGCCTGCCAGCATGACTTGTAGTACAAGCATCTGCGAAACCTTATGCACCGAAACGCTTTCAGAAGTCAACGAGCCCCAAAGAAGTTTCCAAAGCCGAATGAGATTCTGTGAAATCTGCAAGCCTAAGCTCAACATCCACAGCCCAAAACCCCAAAGCCCTCCAGTACACCCCAAACTCAGACTCTAAATCCCTAAACACCTGACCTCAAAATACCTTAAGCCTCAACACCCAAACCCCTAAGCCCTAAAGCCCCCAAACCCCTAAGCCCTAAAGCCCCCAAAGCCCTAAGCCCTAAAGCCCCCAAAGCCCTAAAGCCCGAAAGCCTCCAGAAACTCCCGAGAGGAGGAGCTCCCGGCGGCAGAGCGGCGATCGGAAGCCCAGCTCAGCACTTGCTGCTTGGCGAGAGCAGTATAGAGGCCTTACTTAAGAATTGTAAAATACGGTTTTTGGGGTAAATTATATGACATGTATAATTCGGAGCCCCAAAATTGTATTACTCAGGCTTCCGAATTAGGGGTTCTGGGTTTGGAGGCTTGAGTTTCTTGGTTTCGAGTTTAGGGTTCAGGGGTTTGGGGCGTGAGTTCATGGTTTGTAAGTAAGTTTCTGAGGGCTTTGTAAGGGTTTTGCGGGGTCTGCTGTCTGATTTGTCAGGGTTTAGGGCTTGTTTTATAGTTCTGAAAGTGGGGGGAGCCCCCTTCTGATTCTTGCAAGAATCCCAGTCTTTTGGAGCCCATGTTCATTCGTTGCAGAACATTGGGCGCTGAATTTCTGAGTTTAGCATGGCTATTGCCCGTGATTCAGGTTCCGATAGAAACGGGACCCCGGTCGAGCAGAGTGGCGTTAAGTCGCACTGATTGTAGTAGGTAGCGGCAGCAGCAGGTGAGTCGTCGTGTCGCAGATAACAGCGGCCTGCAGTCATGTCTGATGGTTGATTCCGGTATAGCTCCATGAAATTTATCGTTGTTTCTTTTTAATTTTAAGATATGTCCAGGATGCAGCCTCCGGCCTCCAAGGTGACCTCCTCCTGCGTGCAGCGACCCGGGCCTCGGAGGCCCTCAATGCAGCGGGCAACGGTCTCCAGCGCGAGGCGCGTCGTCGTGCTCGTCGTTCCCCTCCTCCTCTTCCTCCTCCTCCTCCTCCTTATACTGCTGCTATTGCTGCCACCACCACGACTGTTACTCTTTTCGGCAGCTGATGCGAAGCCAAAAGCTGAGATCCCAAGACCTCCAAACATCCGAATCCCGGTCTTCCGAAGCAGGCGAGTGTCGCCCTCCAGCAGCTTCTCGCCGCCTTTGCCTCCGAGGGCGGCAGCTACTTGCGGTGAATTAGGGCAATTCAATTTGAGGTTTGGGGCTGGTGGCTTCAGGATTTGGGGGTCATGAGGATGCTTGGCATCTCGAGTTTGGCGGTAGTGTGGGCAGCCCAACCCTTGAAACCTGGCTGACTCCTCAGGACCGAAGAACAGGTGCCCCTGCTGCAGACACCCGCAACACCAGACAACTCGATCCGTTGTGAAAGAAGGATCTCATTTCAAGCCCTTCAATTCAACTTTTGGCTCCATTGTAGTTCCTTTTTTGGGATACCTTAGAGGATCCTAAAAATGAAGTTGGTCCTGGAGCTTCACCGGAGACTACGGGTAGGTGCTTAGGTGCTCAAATCCCCGAAGCCGGAAGAGCTCCCCCGAGGCGAGGAAACCTCGAGCAAGGAGGCGCAGGCCTGCAGCAGGCCGTCGGCGCTTCAGGGTTCAGGGTTCTTAGGGTTCTTAGGGTTTAGGGTTTAGGGTTTGGGGTTTAGGGTTTAGGGTTTAGGGTTTAGGGTATCGGGTTTAGGGGTTGGGTAGAGGCCGGGTTCGGATAGGTTGAGGTTCCAGGAGGCTCGAGGCGTCGAAAGGGTTTTTTTCTAGGCATCCGCGCGCCGAATTCTGAATCCCCTTGCATGTCAGCTTTGGGCTGTGTGCACTTTCTACCTTTTTTTTGGAGACCAAGGGCTGCGCCAACAGCTCGAAGTCTAGGCTAGGCCACAAAGCCCTGCAATCCCCAAAGCTCTGATTTCCCCAGGGTCATATTTCAATGCACCCTCGAACTCCAAGTTCTAAGCTCTTCCTCCGCGTAGTCACGTAGTTATCTTCCGCAAGCTATGCACGTAGCCGCAAATCTGCACCATCCCTACTAAAGAAAAATCCTACACCCTGACTCTACTAAACACCTAAACCTAAACCATCCTAAACCCACGAAGGTGTCTTCTGCTGGCCTGGCAAGAGTTGGGCGCCATGCTGCTGAATTTGGCGGCTGCGCTTACCGGCCCCTCT